TATAATATAAAATTACACAAGAATTAGTCATGCCAGCAAAACTACTAGACCAAATGTCCCGAGGAAAAGCCGAAATGGGCTAGAGCAAATTAGAAGCTGTGTATATATGGTTTCAAATGCAAATAATCACTGTTGTACGCTCTAGTAATCAACCAGAGTATATATATATATATGACGATGTCTACACAAGTGTATCTATGAATGTGAATGTGTCAATCTCTAACCAGAATATCTCTGAAAAAAATTTGACATGATCAATTATGATTACGTTGGTTTCCAGCTCATCCAGGCCCGTCTGACTCGCAGCCGGAGTGAAGCAAATGCCCATATCACGCATGCAACTTTTCTCCAAGTGACCATTGTAGCAGATATGTATGGCAAATAGCAGGCATCGCTGAACGAGAATCAGAGTTGACATATCCGAACCTCGGATCAGAATTGTGGCACAAAAAGACATAGATTGTTTGCAGCGGGATACGCAGCCATGATCGGGTTTTGAGGATGACGACGAAGAAACAATAGCGGGTAAGTCGAGCGTATCCCCAGCAGTCTTAAGAAAGGTAAGCCATTTGTGAGAACCTAAATTGGCGCAACACATAATGAAATTGAATGTTTTGCAAGAAGGAGTGAAATAGTAATGATAAAAAATAGATAAAAAAGTTGAAGCAAAGCAAGAAGAATGATATAACTTTATGAAAATTGATATCAAACAAAAACATTTACTTGATATAAAGCATGGTGTCCTGCTCTTACAAGGTCCGTCACATTATGGACGATAGCTCAGCAAGAATTCATTGGGGTGGTGGAAATGTGAGGCGAGAACTCATTCACACAAATCTAGTCACAACCGACTTCGACTTCAGATGAGACCAACTTACGAATCCCTTCCTCATCAAAGGAAATAAATGTACCCCAAACTAAATCTATTAAGACATTTTTCGTAAACCAATTTTTATACTTAGCGTTTGATACAATAACCGCTTAATTACCGTTTAGCAGTCGATAATATTTTCGTAAACGTTTCATTTTGAATGGGTAGTAAAAAGAGTCCAAGTGACCCGCCCTGAAGAAATTTTCGCTCCTAGACTTGCCGCTAAACGTACATAAAACGAATTAGCATCTAATTAGTTTTATATAACTTACGCGAGTTTAACACTATGCATAAAAAACGTAAGCAAATCAAGCATAGGTGAAATTAAATGAAATGTATAGTTTATTTATTTTATCAAGACCCAAATATTGGGCAACTGGTCACCAGCAATAAATTTGACTATTAGTGAATTTCTCGCTAACTTCTGTAAGAGTGAGTTACAGCTCAAACGAAGTTTTTTTTTACTTATAGAAGTTGTTTGACCTTGTTTTAGCAACTTAGTCGAATTGGCAGGAAGACTTAGAAGAACACATCTAGCCCGGAGTCCGTTGTATGCATGATCATTTCCAAAGTCGGATCGTGGACGTGGAACTTTCCCAGACGTTTGGCCGGCATCGTCAGTGAGTCCGTTGCGACCGTTACTAAGGGAATGGAAAATCAAGGTGATAGCAGAGGAGAAGAAAACACTTTTCACCAATCTGCCGACGCAACACGAGAAGACGGACAAACTTGATTACTCGGGATTTTATGGCATCAAATGTGGCAACTGTGAGCAGAAGTATGTTGGTGAAACAGGAAGAAAAAAAGGCCTACGAATTAAGGAACATCAACGACTCTGCAGGAACATGGATACGAAAAGATACGAAACAGCAGAACACATTGCACGAACGGGGCAGGAAATCGACCGAATGGTTGGCTGCATATGGTGAAAATACGAGAAAACGTAAGATCCAATAGGCCATCGAAGTACTGACCGAAGGAAATCTAATTAACAGGAAACTTGAAGAATGCAGGATCAGCGAAAACTTTGCATATTGCCCAGACAACCTTGGAGAAGACCAGGGAACAGTAAGGTCAGCAAAAAGAAGACGACTGGATCAAGGTAATATCATTAATTTTAGGAAAAGAGATCGCAGAGTGATGAGAAAGGAACAATTAAAAGCAAGGAGGAGACGTCTTCAGTGAGCCTAATCAAAACCAGTAGAACAACGACATTTGTGGGTTGGCCCAGAAGAGACTATGACGTAGGAAGTGATAGACATGGTATTATGAATAGAAACAGGAAAGACGCGATGAAGACTAGAGCTATTCGGCTAACAATAGACGTGTTTAATCATAGACGTGATCCTTGAATCCTGACTATTCTTAGCCAACAAGCTCTAGCTTCCACTGTTTCTATCTTCTTGCTATCTATAATATCAAGTCTATAACTTCCTATGCCCTAGTCTCTTGTGTGCCAAACCCCAAACGTTGTGGTTCATCATTAAACCTAATCAAAGCAAGCAGCACCACAACATTTGTGGGTTGGCACACAAGACAATATGACATGGCAAGTCATAGACTTGGTATTAGAGATATAGAGAATAGACGAAGCGGCGATTGGAGCTAGTTGGCTGACAGTAGGTTTTACAAGAGACACGGTCCATGTAGCAAAGACATGGCAATGACTGATAGGACCCAGGGAAGAAGGACTACGTAACAATAGGGCAGACTCTGGTCAAGGGGGTGAGAACGACAGTGTGGAGTGTGAAGGGTTTTCATGAATGCCGCTCGAAGGAGCACATCACACTACATCAAAATAATCACGGTAAAAATTGTGACAGGGAAGGCATGATAGGAGGATATATGAAATGTTATAAGTCCAGAGCAGAAGGAGAGATGCCACAACTGTTTAACACACGTTTGGTCAAAGGATGGGCCTCACTTGCCTCTTTGGTGCTAAGAATGGCGAGACTCACTGACGATGCCGGCGAAACGTCTGGAATTGTACCACGTCCACGGTACAATGGACTCCGGACTAGGTGCGTTCCTCTAAGTCTTCCTACCAACATGACCAAGTTGCGAAAACAAGGTCAAACCACTTCTATGCGACGAAAGGAGACTGCGACCACACAAAAGGCCACACCATCTTGGTCTTCATACCTTTTTTTTATTTATGTTTGCTTGGCTGCATCTATCAGGACTTAAAACTAAATAAGAAGATATAAAACAAAAAACAGCCTGTAAATGTTTGTAGCCCCAAAAATCAGAACTGGCCAAACATATAACTTACAAAGGCCAAACTCTTTGTTGGATATTGAGGCAATGCCAGTAGGCGGTAGATTAAGCAATCTATAACACTAAACAAAACAGCCGACATGGATCAGACAAAAGGCCACATGATCTTGGTCTCCATAACTTCGATAAAGGTGTCAAGCTCTGAATAAAAGGAATGTTTGTAGGAAATTAAGCAGAAACTACTTTAAGTTGTTTTATAGGATTAGACAAACAGACAGACATACAGACAGACA